GAGGGCACGAGGGAGGCAAATCAGAGGGGCACAAGCGATCTAAATTCGGGGGCACAAGGGAACCCGCGACCGCCAAGCAAGACCTCCCGGGGAAAAAAGACTTTAAAAAAAGTATCAACTTTTCCGATACCATTTGTTGCTTAGCCATCCTTAGTTTGCTGCTAGATCCCGATTTATCGGCTTCATATCCGCTCTCTTGGCTGGATGTTCTTCCTCTGGAGGTGTTCCAAAATGGTGGTGCATCCAAGTCACTATTAAAACCAATGGTTTTGGGGATCCCCCATTTGTAGAAACCCCAAGTAAACTTTTAAATCCCTGTTTGTTGTTTGTTTAACCCAACTTTTTTTGGGTATGCGACTTCCGCCACCAGCTGAAACCAGCCCATCCCGGTCCGGCCTCCTCAATCAATGGGGCCGTCTGTTCGCTGGGGCAATGCTCTAAGAGCCGCTCAAGGACTCGGCATCCTCTGTGGACTTTCATGGGGGATTCACCGGTGATTGTCAGCATTTGGGGTAGGTAACGTATGGTAACGTAACGTAGCGGTACGTAGCGGTAGGTCGCGGTACGCAACGGAATACATGTATGTATATATGTGTGTGCGTGTCTATATGTATGCATGCAAATGTATACAGTATGTATATGATTGTCTGGCTGGTGGTTTTAACCATCTTGAAAAATATTAGTCAATGGGAAGGATTATCCCATATATTACGGGAAATAAAAAATGTTCCAAACCACCATCCAGTTGTATATGTATATGTATGTGTATATGTACATGATGACGATGATGATGATATGCCTATATCAAGTCACCAAAAGGACAGACAGCAAAATCCGCTTCGCCAGGAGACCGTAGCGGTGCCGGGCAGCCACCACAGCATGGCCGCGCATCTCGGAAAGCAGAAAGCCAAGGCGCTCAGGTGGAATCAGCTCGATACATTTCCTGGCCAAAGCCATGGTGCTATGGTTATAGATATACATTGACATATATATATATATATATACATATATGTATGTATGTATGTGTATATATATATAGTATGCAAAGATAGATAGATACAGATATAAGCAACTCAATATTGATTAGACTGAAGAAAGGTAAATTTAAAGTATAAGGATGATGAGCAACTAGACCAAAGAGACTTTAAATGAAAATGTAAGTGTAAATAACGAATTACTTGGGAAGTGTTTTTGAAAAATGCAGTTGTTGTTTGATACAGAAAGCAAGAATAAAGGCTGTTTTCAATCGCATGGTAATATAATGTAATATAATATAATATAATATAGTATAATATAATATAACATAATATAACATAATATAATATAATATAATATAATTCAATATAATATCATAATATAATATAATATCATATAATATAATATAAATTAATTTATTTTAATATAATATATATATACATAGTACCCTCTGGTCTTCAAACAAAATCTCCCTCTAGTAACTTATCGATGAAAGTCCCGTTAAAACTCGGGGTTTTCCACGGCCAAGTTGAATTGCTGAAGGTTGTAGTACATATCCAAAACGGTTGAATCGTATAGATGCTATGTATGAGCACTGAAAATAGAGTCACAATTGAATTTTCACAGCCTAAACCAAACCAAAAACTGGGTTTCAACCTGTAAGAATGAGGATAGAACGAACCAGCAAGAATTCGGATTGAACTGCCCAAACCACCAGGACCGAGGACGAAACGCTTTGCGGGAAAAAATGGGGAGAGGTCAACAATCCGTGGATCCCAGTGGATCACGATTCTGCTGACACCAAATGGTAAATGAGACTAATTGAGATATATTGAGACTATATTGACTACGTGTTGACTATATATAGCAGCGTACTGGCAGCCCAAACAGGGTGTGCCTCCAGTTGTTCAAAGAAAATCAAGATCACCTTCCGGCATATAAACACACCAATGATTGTTAGCTATCTCAGCTATCTCCATATGAGTTTGTTTGAAAACAGGTAATCCCTAAGTCTGCTGCTTAATCATCAAGTTCCCTCTTAAAGTGGTCATTTATGAGTATCCCCCTGTTTTCAGACACAGCTAACACAAATTGCCTCACCAAGAGGCTGAAGCACATGGTTGGCATGTGGCGAGACAAAGGCTTCTTTCACATGCCCTTGCAGTTGCTCGGCCAGGGCTACACCTAGCCACCGCAGACTCGAACCGATTACGGAAACCATTGCTGTTGCGGATGCACAATGTGGAGATGCTAAGTTCCATGCCAGATTTAAGGTTATTCTTGACGCCTTCCCCAACACCCTCAAACATGGTGTATCTACCCCCTTCAACAAGGACTCTCAGGCAAAAAACAAGTCAGATGACCCTTGGTCCCACAGCGGCTGCCCAGCAACTTCACTCGATCATTTGAATCATTTTGCCCAAGATACAATATTATTTCACCAGCACAAAATTGAAAAATATTCAAACGCGTTTTTTTCCCACGCTTTTCCCAAAAACGAATCCTGTTGTGATTCATCAGTCCTGATAGTCCTATGGTCATGTCGTACGTCGCACGTCGTACGCATCGCTGATTGCTGTCAAGCATCGCTGCGGTGTATCCTACAACGCAATGCTGCGGTTCCAAAGAAAAAAATATACTGCTACTGTAGACACAAAGGGAAAGCCCGGGAAAGCACTGCTACGCCTGCAAACTTACTCGACTTACTCCCCAGAGCAAAATCCACCAATTCGGAAAACTTGAATCATCCAGGTGCGAAATCTAGGTATCTGATCATCGCAACTCAGGATTGCAGTCCTGACCCTGGTTGCAGACATCATTTTGACCCTCCCCTACCAGTTTTGTTGGTCTTGTACCCCTTGTATCCACGAGGGCTTTCCATCTCCCCAGTAATATCCACACTGCGGAAAATGTCCTCCACTCCAACAGCACACTTTCAGTATATCATGGTCCCAAAATGGTCCCCATCCCATCCCCCCCACCCGAACCCCCCATGGCTGTTCGATTTCACCACGTTCATCCCTGAACTGGAAGGGAAAATCCGCAGGAGACCCCTATATTTCAGCAGAAACCTTGGTTTCCTGTAGATGTTCAGCCAATCCACTGAATATATATATATATATATGTGTGTGTTCCATCATGTTCCGGCCATTTGATCCGGGAAACCGCCACTTCCAGTGCTTTTTGGACTACTCGTGTGCCACCAGCCGTGCAAGACATGGTCCATGTTGAAGTCCGTAGCATCTCCAAGACCTGCCATCAAGCTAGGACAGTCCTGGGGTAATGCTAACCTGGGATTGCCCGGCCCCCAGTTTATTAATACGGTGATACCAACTTTAATAATATAGCTGGGGGCTATTATTAAGTCACTATTATTAAAGTAATGAATGACTATGAATCACTATTTTGGACGTAACCCAATCAATTCATCGTCAGGCTTTTTTTTCTTCCAGGGTTGACCTTAATTAAGCTCCACCATGAAATTGGGAATCCTCAAAATTGGCCATGATAAATTCCCATTAATTGTCCCCATATGGATGTTATAACCCAACTTTCGACTGTGGCACAAATGAAAATTGCAGTCTTGCACATCCAGCCCATTTTTGAAACAAAACGTAATGGAAGTTGAAGCAATAAAAATGATGATAAATGCAAAGGAATTCCAAAAATTACTCTACTTCGTGTGATCCCCACCATGACATGTCAGGACGTATATTTGGACATATATTTAGTTGACATCCTATCTGACATATATTCTGGCATATATTCTGGCATTCTATCTGGCATATATCCTGACATTCCACCTGGCATTCTATCTGGCAGTCTATCTGGCATTCTATCTGACATATTTTCTGACATTTCATCTGACATATATTCTGGCATTCTACCTGTCATTTATTCTGACATATATTCTGGCATTCTATCTGACATATATTCTGGCATATATTCTGGTATTCTATCTGGCATTATATCTGACATATATTTTGGCATTCTATCTGACATATATTCTGGCATATATGTTGGCATTCTATCTGGCATTATATCTGACATATATTCTGGCATTCTATCTGACATATATTCTGGCATATATTCTGGCATTCTATCTGGCATCATATCTGGCATCATATCTGACATATATTTTGGCATTCTATCTGACATACATTCTGGCATATATGTTGGCATTCTATCTGGCATTATATCTGACATTCTATCTGACATTCTATCTGGCAGTCTATCTGGCATTCTTTCTGGCAGTCTATCTGGCATTCTATCTGGCATTCTATCTGGCATCCTATCTGACATTCTATCTGGCATTCTATCTGGCATTCTTTCTGGCATTCTTTCTGGCATTCTATCTGGCATTCTATCTGGCATCCTATCTGACATTCTATCTGGCATTCGATCTGGCAGTCTATCTGACATTCCTACATGAGGTCCGGCAGGGAACACTTGGCATGGATACTCGCGGTTGAGGTCCGGCAGGGAACACTGGGCGCGGATGGTCGTGGTTGAGGTCCGGCAGGGAACACTGGGCGTGGATGGTCGTGGTTGAGGTCCGGCAGGGAACACTGGGCGTGGATGGTCGTGGTTGAGGTCCGGCAGGGCACACTGGGCGTGGATGGTCGTGGTTGAGGTCCGGCAGGGAACACTGGGCGTGGATGGTCGTGGTTGAGGTCCGGCAGGGAACACTGGGCGTGGGTGGTCGTGGTTGAGGTCCGGCAGCGAACACTGTGGATCGCGAGTCGCAGTTGAGCAGGAGGACGAGGAGGACAACGAGAGGAGGAGGAGGAGAGGAGGACGAGGCAGGAGGAGGCGGAGGACGAGGAGGAGGAGGAGAAGGAGGAGGAGGAGAAGGAGGAGAAGGAGGAGGCAACTGACATAAAATCTAACAACCCTCACCTGGCAGGTGGGGAATGATGTAAAATAAGATTAAATAATACAGACTCGGACAGACCCGAAATTTGAACAATTGAAGGCCCAAAGTAGCTTTGGACAAGAAAAATGCAGAGGTCTATTTATTCAGATCCTCAAATTTGCCCAAAAAAACTGTGATGTCTACCACCTTCAGACCACGACTTCACGACACTGTGGGGAACCTCAGACTTGGCAGATGATTCCAGTTGCGAGATCATTCGCTCACATTCCTGCAACTCTTCATCTGGAACTTCCTGCGAATCGAAAATTGGAGGGTTGTGATTGGGGTCACCAGTGTCACCAGGGTGAACCTCCGGCGGGTCAAAATGCAAGATGTCGGACTCAGGACCGTCAGGATCCCACAAGTATCGAACATTTGGTGCATCCAGTTTTGTGCCTCTTGAGTCACGAGATACACCACCAAAAAGTGATAAAGTCAAGCACCATCCCAGATTCACAGTGAAAGTAGAAACATTAAATTCCAAATTCGACATGGAATTCTCATTCCAGTGGGGCCAGAAACGCAGGGCAAATTCTTCAGACTGGTTGATTCATAGTGTCATGACCCTAGTGGCCCTAGTGGCCAAACTCCGCTATGAGTAGAACCCCAAGAGATGAAACAATGCACCGCTGTCCCTGAGGACGGGTAAGTGTCACACTAAAATGGTGACGATTTCATACCATGTCTATTTTGGATGCAACGTACCTGACACATATGTATATGTATATATTGGAGCATGCGTATGCATAGTATGTACACACACGCACACATATATATAAATATATATGTATGTGTATATATAAGCCCCCCAACAACTACCTTTTTTTAACATTATTCCAAATGGAATTCCCGGCAACTTACAGTAAATCGTGCTATCTAAAAAGTGGTTCTTGGGGGGGTGGTAACCCCCATACCATACATTCAATATTAGGGGGGGTGAACACGAGACACGGGACCATATATATATATACATAGTTATATAGTAACATCCACGGCACCAAGTTCGTTGACTCATGACAGCTCCTCTACTTGCAACTCAGAGAGAGGAAGGCTTTGTTCCACTGCCACGTTGGGCATCTCTATCTGCCACACTCCTGTGGAGGGGTGCTGATGGCTGTCCCAGTTGAATCACTACCAATATTGTCCTTTTGAAAAGAACAGAAGGGGTTGGTTTTGTATGCAATTTGTCATCATTTAATCATTTATCTATTGATTGTTTAGTGGTCATGACCGCCTTCCTTTTATCAACAAATATATTGCAAGGATATGTGCGCAACAAGCATCTGTTTGGTCATGGTGAAGCCTACCCTAGCCAACCTGGGAAGGCGAAGGGCTGTGGCGCCATTGCGACGTTGCTCGGCCATTCTCTGGGACTACATGCAGGTGTGGATTCGGGCGTCGGAGGCCACAGCTGGATGGGCTCCGACGGCTCCTGACATCGCCAGATGCGCCGAGGGATCCAGTTCCGAAGGCAAAAAGAAGTTTCAGACGGCAAAGACACTAAAAACATCTAAAAACACTAAAACCAAACGATGAAAGTATGAAAAGTCGGTACAAAGTCATTGGTTGCTCTTTTTTACAGACTTTTTGGGAGGCGAAAAAAAAAGGGAAAAAACTCAGTCGCGCCTTGGACTCAAGGGGGCCAGGGCTTACTGGCAATGAAAGCTGCGCCTTGGCAAGGGATGGTAAGCAGCGTCATTCTTTTTTAATCAAAAGCCCATAGAAAACCCCAAAATATTTATGCAGAAAAGTCAAATCCTACCAAAAAGTGATGCATTCAACCTGTTCCATCTTTTTCTGGGGGTTAGTATAATTGGGATTCTAGGATTCTACCCGATTTTCTCCGCAGAGCAGTTTCCCGTAGTTTCGAGGCCTGAGACGCAGAGGGTCCTGCAACAAGACCCGGCAGAGCAGGGCCTTTCAGCTGCCTTAGAAAAATCGGCACTGCGAACAGAAACTGACACGTCGGTACTACTCCGGGGCCATAATTAGCTTGCTTTCCGGCTTCTGACTTTTTGTGAAGCACCCTTTTTCAACATCCAGGGGTCCAAGGCACGCTTCGTCAGCGACATGTTTCTTCTCATCGGCCGCCATCGCAGCTTTCAAACGGCGACGTTGCTTTCGGCTGGCCGAGGTTCGAAGGGATCCTGGGAAACTCGGTGGAAAGTCAGCAGAGATGGATGGCTATTTATCTGCAGCACCCCATGATGATACCAGGTCGGTTTTCTCTGAGCAGTCTGAGCACCAAGTCCTACAAGTCCAGTTCAGCAGCTGGATTCCCTGGCCCTTTTTGGAGGTTCTTGGTATTGGGCTGGCTGAAAGGCACCGGGAAACGGCTTGGAAACCATGGTCCAAAAGTACCACTAAGTTCCATCCAATTCGCCTTGCGGCTTTGGCACCTGGAAATGATGGGAAACCCAAAATGTTGATTCGAAAGCTCATGTTCCCCATGTTTTAAAGCTAGCTTTATCAATTGCTTGGGTCAATCCGCAGGATTTTCAGGTACAGCCAAGTGCTGCATCCAAGGTGCTGGGGGAGGACGGAGCACCTGAAGATGCCTGAACAACTGCCAGACTTGAAAACCACGTGAAACCTCAAAGAGGATGTGGAATGAACTAGCAGGAAAATGGAGTTGAAACTATATAGAATGGAGTTAAACCCGAAACCGAGTGGTGTTTGATCAACAAAAACAACAAAGATAGGCATTCTGTCTCTGGAAACTGAACCTGGCAATTTGACATCCCTAGTTAATCCTAGTTCCATACATTAAAATATCGGCATTTTCTACATGCCTGCTGGGTTTCCCGCCAGCCATGTCTGCTTACCAATGGTTTTGTTAAATCGCTGCAGGATTTGTTCACCCCGTTTGGGGCCTCAGAGTAAGGGTACTCGCAAAAATCCCCTAGGAAAAAAATGCAATCCCTTGCTCTGCTGGTTCATTTTCAACTGGAGAAACTTGTGGGTGTCTGGGTGAGATTCCGTTTCAAAGTTTCAAACTGTTTCAAAATGGGAAACATCATCTCAAGACCAGTTGATTCAGTTGATGGTATATTGAGCCAGTCGCTCCCAAAAACTTCAAGCCCTCCCAAATCCACACTTCCAGCTGCACCAGACGCGCAGCTGCGGGGATACCGGTACCGCGCCGCGCGCCTCTACCTGTTTGGTCTCCTTGACATCACTCCTAAGCGCCTGAGTATCAGGTGCAAATTCTTCAATAGGAGAGTTCATATCCAACGACTTCCAAAACCATGATTCCAAGCCAGTTCGCAAGAGTCTGCAAGTCTCTCCACTGATGTTCAGGCCCACACTGGCTGCTGAATTGGCGGCTGTGCTGTCACATCTGAATGTGGCATTTGAGCCACAGGAAAACCTGCAGCCATGTGGCGGTCAGGAGCATGGACCCAAAATGTTCCAAATCTCATGTTCTTTAGTACTAGAGTGACTAAACCATCCATCATAAATTGGTGCCCAATGTGGACCCGATCCCGCTAATTTGTATTATATAGTACCTGGGTTTGATTTTCAGTCTGTCTCTGTATCTTTGTCTGTTTCACTCTGTCTGCATACAATGCTGAACGAACACCATTCAAAAGACGGTGAGGAGAAAATTGTCGTTGCACTTTGGCACGGAAAAAGTGTCAGGTTTTAAATTGCAACTCATAGATACACAGGTAAAAAAGATCAGATCAAATAAGACAACAATAAGATCATGACTGGATGCAACTCCCGAAACTAGGTAAAATTGCCTCAAATGCAAAAAAAAAATACGAGAAACAAAAAATAACCCCCTTCCCATAGAAGCAGTGCCCAGTTCAGCTTTCCTCATTTCAGATTCCCAGTTCGCAGCTTACAATAATCTCCATTAAGCCATTTACAGCGCCAGACATAGCAATTCTGATGTTTTTTATCACCATTTAATGGATTGTTTTCAGAAAATTTTGGTAAACCATGGTATTTTGCTAGCGATTTGGAGTGTTTCTGGCCATCAATCGGCAGTTGTTTTTCGCTGAGGCCCGCTCCACTGAGGCAGCCATCGCTAGTCATGAGAATTGCTGGCCACACCTTGGGACCCGGACTGAAGACATCCCCAGTTTTTAGAAAAGTCATCACCAAAACTCTAAATATGCATCTATTTTTGGGGAATCCTCCATTGCCCGGGTCGATTTTTGTCCAGTTCTTTTGGCATTTTGGCAATGCAAGGCCCTTTGGCAAGCCAAGTGACGCAGGCGCCAGGTGGGAAAACAGCATGAGCATCGAACTGCCACATGCACTGGGCACCTGTCCTCGGTTTGACAAATGGCCGATGGGACCCTCTTGAATGGGATAAATCCAGAAATTTCGGGGAATAAAAACAATGGTTCATCATGTTGATCATTGAACTCATGTCTTACAAATATGCAATGAAATATGATCAATAAACAGTGGTTCATTTTCCCATCAAAAGCCCATATTTTCCCATCGCCAAGCCCCCGGTCCGGTGATCGAGGCAAATCCCTGACTAAACCACCAAGCCAAGCCAAGAATCTCTGTTGAGAGTTGGCCGTCCTGGCGGTTAGGCCACCAGCTACGGAACGAGATTTTGGTCGTATCCCCAGGAGAAGTAGACCCCTTTTCTTGGCAAAACACACATTTATAATCCCCCTGTATGAAATAGCCCCAAACGAGGTGCGGGCCCAGTCATGGGGAGGATTTAAGAAGTATTAATTACATTGGCCCCCATTTCATGCTGGTAACACCATCATTAATCATATTAAATCCCCATTTTGGATGGTTCTCCCATTGGTTCACCACTCCATCAGGGAGATGAAATTCATCCCCCCGTTCGCACCTGAACTTGGGACTCCCCCTCTTCCTCGCAGGGAATCAGACCGAGCCATCCAACAATGGGGAAAAAAATGTTAGTCGTATCATATATAGTATGCATATATACACACATATGCACATATATTATGTATTGCCTGGCATAGAATCATTTAAAAAAAAGAAAACTTTAGTTCCAGAATAAAACATGACCAACAAATACCAGCAACATGGGCGATATGAGCCGATCATTTCGAAGTGTTCGAGGAATTCTTCGGGCCCCAAGCAACCAACAATTCTGGGATTTCCTGGCTTTGGATGGACAATTCTTGATCAAATTCCCTCCTGTCTGAAGCACCCCATTGAATTCCATTTTCGTTGGCATCTTGGGAGAACTCCCAGCGAAAAACACCAGGATCATGATATCGAATCATGAAGGTCTATCAACCTTCGTTGTGAAGAAACTGTCCGGGGATAACGCAGTTGATACCCCTTGTTTGATGGTCAATATTCCGGAATATCCCAAAGTTGCTGGTTCATATCTAATGTTTGATGCTTCAGTCCCTAGGATTTATGCTGAACGATCCCCATCTGTTGATGCTTCGATCCCCGTTTTGGTGATATCCCCCAGCCGAGTCACCTGCGTTTCAGGATGCTGCGCGCTAGGGGCGGAACCACCTGAGTCAACATCTGGCCATCTGCCATCTGATGCCATCTGGCAGAATCTGATGGATCTGTAGTCGTCGATTCAGAAGGGGGGAATAAGGCGTTATTCAATAGATCCTCTCACTTGTTGTGGTCAGAAAGCGTTGAAACATCGGCTTGAAGGCTTGAAGGCGAGTCAAGGCGAGTCAATGAGGGACCGACACGACACAAACGAATGCAGTCCACCAACAATAGAAACCCACTACCCTCTGCTAATCAAAAATAGTTTGCTGGGAAATTTCCCCTATTTCGATGATGTTTCCATTAAAATGCCCATTTAAAGGCGATTTCCTATTGTCATGTTTGATTACCAGGGGGGAACATTGTAGCCATTGCAATGTATGACAACCCAATAGTGCTGATTGCTTCTGTTCTCGAGTATCACCTGGCATCGCTGGCTGTATCCCCATTTGATTTGTCATGTGTCAAGGGTGAGTGATGCTTATATTGCCAATATGCTACGTGATGATCCGTGATATCTCCTGTGGATTGTCTCCTCTCATCTACCATTCAGGATAACCCAACAGGTGGCTTGTCGATTCTTTGTAATCCCATTCCCGATCAGATGAAATGCAGTAGCCTCTTAGAACCCGTGGTTTCACATTGGATCTATTCATGAATTGGTAGAAACAGATGTCACATTTGCCTGTATTATATCCCCATTTCATGATGGTAAAACTACGTTAAATGCCCATTTGTCGTGGGAAAAATATGGGATGATACCCATCTTTACATGGTAAATCATGGTAAATCAACATGAAAACACCATGACTGGGTACAATCAGTGGGAATTTCAGGATCCTAAAATGGAGGTACTGTACCATATAAGGCCATATTTTCTGTGGATATTCCCTTACATAGCCCTTACATAGGCCTTCCATTGATACAAATGTATATTGCCATTTTTCTGGGTGAATTGTCTGTCGGGATCTCCCATCAGCTACGGAAAAAATCTCCACAGCTTCGGCCAAGTCGCTGGTCGCACCCTGCGCCAAGAGGTTCTCAACTGCCTGGAGTTAGATGTAAAAAATGGATGCTGAATGGACTCTGATGGATATTTCATGATATTTCATGGATTCTTATGGATATTTAGTAGACTCTTACGGATATGTGATATGTTTTTCTGAAGAGTTAATGGTTGTTGAAATGGTGAATTAGTTGAATTAAGCTATAAATTGGATTTGTTTTTGATGGATCGTAATGGTTCTCCAGTGTTCTCCACCCCTTTCCACGTTGCACTTTCCGTCAAACCTTGGGATCACCAAAGATGGGCTGAAGAAACCAAGCTGGATCGGCGTTGCTTCGAAGCTTCAATCGCAGCTTTCTGCTGAAATATATCAAGTCGTTAGGGCCTATAGGCTTTTAATGCCAGCTTTCTATGGCTGAAATATGAACACCGACCGATTTTTGCTCGCAACTTTTCCATGGCTTGAACTCCACCTGGTGGAGTTCCCACCGATTCCTATCTTTTCTAAACTCCACAAATTTCTATCTTTCTCCACTTTTCATCACTTTTCTATGGCTTAAATAACTGAAATATGCTTAAAAAATCTGGACCAAATAGCGGTTTTTGGTCCCAAATAAGTTTTCGCCAAGGTACTGGCCACCTCGCGGGTCCCTGCGGTCCCTGCCAGGTCAATGGCTGCGCCATCATCGGGCGCAGATCGCTAGGCATCCTCAGCATGCGGCGGGTGGATGTGATGCGGCTGGGATGTGATTTTCCTTGGGAAAAAAAAAAATGGATTTTACTATGGGAATAAATGGGACTAGACTAGACTTGGATGGGACTAGACTTGGACTATGATGAATTTTACGGGGGCGTTGCTTTCAAACGCTGATTTCTTCGAAATGAGATTTAGTGGAAAAATAGGACAATGTCAAAAATTCCATGAATGGGAATTTCATGTGGTCCGATTTCATACACGATCCCAATGACTTTCCAAAAATGCTTGGTACCACCTCCACATGGGCTTGCGTAAGTGTTGATAATTGGATAAACCAATTACCAAAACATGGCTAGATATTTGTTATACCCAATTGGATATGACTGGGACGTTTTGGTTCATTGGGATGCATAAACCATGAATCAAGATGTTTGATATTTCAAATTTCGAATATATCGTAGGGAATGATATACCCAATTTACAATCGATTGGGGAATGCCGTTTTTTATTATAGCCGATAGAAACAATCCATGAATCTACATGGGGGTATAATCAATATATTATATTATATATTCATAAAAAAATAGCATCAAAAAAGTAAAAATGGGCACAAAAATATGGAGATGTAGCCAATATGACATTGAGAATACTGCCAGGTATTAGGATCAACAAATGGGTATGGCGTACTGTTCTGGTCCCACAGATGGCTGATCATGTTCATGATCTGACAAACATCCATGTTGGGATCCTTCCAGTTTCGGAAGCGGTTTATGTACAAAGCAAATCTGCTGAAATATGCTGAAACCGCCTGGCAGTCAGGTTTATCTACGCCCAGCAATTGGCTCAAAATCCAAGTTTTCACAGTTTTGAAAGTCTTTTTCACCTCTCAAACTCTGTGTTTTTCCCCAAAGCTGACCAGAAAGCCCTGGAAAAACTGGGCCCTGGAAAACTTCCGTCGCACTGGGCATCCGCGGCCCATTCCATGCTGCCGGCGTCGCGGTGGGCGCCGGGACCTATCGGAGGGGCAGATGTTTCTCCTGAATTCTGGAGAATTACAACGGCAATTCGTTGGTAAAATGGGATTTCTTGTGATCACCATAGAAATCATACTGGGAAGGGGTTGAATGTTTCTGAGCACCAGAAGTTACACGTGTCTACAACCGAGATCATCACCGCCATAAGTTGGGAACCATGTCAGGTCCTCAAACGGACAGCGAAGATGAAAGATATGTACGTGTGTGTGTGTGTGCACCTATTCTATATGCATATGAAACATGTACTGTTTACACAAGGGTCATGCATCACGCGTATGTATATGGTCGCTATGAGAACAAGCAAACATGATTTAGAATGATTCATACATTTCGGTCGTGTATCAACTTTTCAGACACCGCTGAGCCACCAAAATCAGACGGTCTGTGGGGAAATCAGTTTGGTTCCACAGATCTTACCTTAGCACACAACCTGAAATGACCAACACCAGAAAAAGGACCAATGATACTGGCTTCCGAGGGCAGCTACACCACGAGCGCAACCGCAATGTCTACGATTTTCTTTCCCTGCTGTCAATAAAGCATCGTGTGGTAAACCCAATGGCATAAACCTACCATTTGGGGATCGTTTATACAGTCCATGAATCATTTTGAAAATTTTGATTTTGGGGATGGTTTATGGCCAGTGTTACCCAGGGTTAACCACATTGACATCTCTTCGCAACTTTTTCGGTGGGTCCCAGGCCATAAACGCCATGTGGGACCCCATCATGGCAAACCCAGAAAATCATCCAAGCCATATCTGATTTTCCAAATGGATATGGTTGGACCAATGGTTGTACAGACCCCAACATTGAATGCCCCAAAAAAATTGGACACCGGTAAATTATGAAGTGAACACCATCTGTCTACTTGGATTGTCTTAATCCATTTTGAGGGTATTATCTTATAGCATTCCATAGCCATAGCAACCCCCCAAAAAAAAAACGAAAGAATTAAATACACTACTACTTTCGTGGGGTTTTAACAAGTTTCAACCTTCCATGTGTTTGGATTGCAATAAAACCTGCCTCAAGCGGAGCTCCATGATCTGTGAGTTCGACGGCTGCATTGGTCCCAGCCAACAGCAACCGCGAAGCGGATTTCTGTACCTGGCACTGGGAAAAAAAAAAACACAGGGCCAAAGTGTGTTTTCTTCGTGGGGTTCCATACGTTCACGAACGAAATTGGGCATTCAATGATTTTTTTCATGAAATAGACAATTCTGTTGGATCTTTGAAGCTGCCAAACCTTTGAACCCCATGTGAATCAACCATTCCAAACCACTTTGTCAGGCAGACTGGTCGTAGAACTGGAAGGAGCATCATGACGAAAACCTCAATCACCAAAATGTTGGTGATTGTTGTGCTGTCACATTGTTTGTCTGAACACTGTGATTGTGACATAATAAACACATTGTAAAGTAACGATGACAAAATATACCTTTCCAAATATATATATATATAACTATGACTATATATATAATTACATGTGTATATATATATATATATTTAATTATATATGTATGTATATATGTATATATATATATAGATCTATAATTACATATGTATATATATATATCTAATTACATGTATATATATAATATATAATTACATATGTATATTTATATATATATTGCACGGCAATGCAACTACTCAAGTCATCTCAAGTTTAACCAATGCATATGGAATATGGAGATAAAACAACAACAGGTATAGACTTATATCGTAATTTTACACACATATTTGACCAAATACAGTGAAGCATTCGCAAAATGATATTTGTTTTCATTGAGGCTCAGATCTGCCAATGTCCTCACCCAAATCCCCTCAGTGGCCAAACATGTTTGCAACCCATACCAGGACGGCAAAAAAAAATGTCTGTCCACACAACGCAAATTTTGCAGTCAAGTGGCGTCGCAAAAACTGAAATAATTGTTTCGCACCCCACACGCGTATGATCCTAGTATGCCACGGACGGCTAACAATCCGCAGGCATGTTCATCACCCAATGAAAGTACTGGTTCGAGTCATGCCAATTCAAATTCAGACGCACATGAAACATTCATTAAAATATGAACACATTAAATGTGTCAATTCCATTCAAAAACAAGGGATCGCCGCCTTGAGGCGGGCGTCGGTTTTAATCATTCAATCATAGAATTGTTAGGGGGGGCTACTTGGGGTGTCTGGGCAAATCAAGGTATCAATGAACCCAGGTCAAACAAAGAGGATTTCCAAGGTTTTGGCATGGGGACTTTCGTTCTCCATGGGTATTCTGTCAATCATGATTCCCAGATTCCGGAGCCGGCATGGTTACCACACAACAAAGAATTTTGTGGGCCCGAAAGCCAGCAAACATTTTTGTGGGTGGTTTTTAGTGAAACCTTTGGGTTGTCCAGTGGGGACACTTGGAAAACATGCCAAAAGAGCCCTTTTACGAATTTTTCTGGAACCGAAAGCGCCTCAGAATTCATCCTGATGTACACTATTCGATTTGTGCTGCCTCATGTGCACAACTACATGACTGACATGCAAATGCGGAAATAAGTTTCACCCCGCCTTGAGAAAGAATATTTCTAAATATCTCTATGGCTACGACTCCGCAGGTCAGTTGTTTGACCTTCGTATCGCCTTTGTTGGAGCCTTTTCAAGGTGAAACCAATTATGCTTCAAACTACTGGCACTGGAGCCACTTGCTAGGCATCCTACCCAACAGGTGACACTCTTCAGGTGGTGCCCTTTTTCCTCTGTCAGATCTTCTCAGAACTCCATCAGTCCACTGTCATTCATGGGTGGTTCCGGCTCATCCTCTCGTCGGCCGGACCATACTTGACATCTGCCCAGTAATCTGGGTCTGAAGCTTCCGACTGTCCGCACTGAGTGTACCTCCGTGCTCTCTGTGATTGGTTTTCTTCCGGCATGCTTTCATCTGAGCTTTGCGGCTTGATCTCCCGCAACGCTCCACCCAGTTGCCCCACCAGTTTTGTCACCTCCTCGAAAGTGTCGTACTCAAGGAGGCTCGTCATGGCCTTGAAGGCCTGCCTTATCAGCCTCAACCAGGGCGTGGTTTTTCTCATCTTCTCCAAGTCCATGCTGAGGGGACTCATCATCATCGCTCAAGCTGTTCACATCTCCAATGACCTGTGTCATCCGGTTTCTCTCTGCAGGAGAGCAATCCGTGTAGTGAGCTACACTGCTACACAGCTGAGCAACCAAGTCCTGCTCTGCAAGTACTTCAAATTCTGTCCATTGTTGCCCCGCCTTTGTGCTCTTTCCAGCCTTCCATTGATCCTTTTCAAGGCAACTAACAGCATGCCTTCGACTTGAAGATCCTCGTGCACCTTGGGCTCTGCAGTTTCTGCTTGGACTGAAAGAATTGTTGGAGGAAAATGCACTGGCATGATTGGCCTGCGAAGCCAGTACAACGTGTATCCCCCAAGCCCCATTGTCCACAAGGTCAGCACAAGTGTTGTGAAAGAAACCATGTCACCTCCAGAAGACTTCGAGTCCACCATGTCGCAACCACACAAGTTCATTGTTGCTACCCCATGCACGAAAGCTGTGGCAATGGTTGTGGAAAGCCTCGAGTTCATGGCAACCTGGTGTCCACCTGTATTGACTGTGGGAGAATCTTCATCACTTGAAAGGTCAGTGATATCCTCCAAGACTCGTTGAACTTGTTCTCGAGTCTCAGTTGTGGCCACTTCAAGAAGGGCCAACATGCCGGACAAAATGCCCTGTCGAGCCAGATATTGGTTTGTTTTCATAGGATCCTGGCTCCTTACTGCCTTCTCAAGTCTTCTCTCACATCGGTCGTACAGCCAATGTACCATGCCCTCCTGAGACCATGCTGGGCAATCAGATGAGGTTTCTGTAGCCTCGGAACTGTTGCCGCAAGGGTCATCTCCAGCGCTGTTGCTTGAAGCTGTGTCAGCAGGCACAAAATCAAAACTTTAAAGGGTTCCCCAGGGCGGATGGCCAGGTAGATGTAGCCAGCCAATCCAAGCAGCCATGTGATCAAGAACAAAACGTTGAAGTTTCCTCCATGCGTGACCACGTCCATGGCACCGGAACAGCCTTGAAGCTGGGTCAGCACGCTCAAGGCGCTAGTCAAAAGGTTGATGTGTGCATGGCTGTAGCCCTGTTGTCTTTGATTTGTGACATGTCTGAAGATGTTCCCTGGGTCATTTGCTCCTTCAAGATTGTTTCCTCTCCAAATACCCAAAAAGTAGCATAACGACTCGAGCCTTGCTGCGCTGAGTCTCTTCGCGGCAACATCTGCAGGATTCAATGCTCCCATCAATGATCTCACCAGCAAACGTTTTTGCATGACTAAATCCTGCATCCACAAAATTTTGCAAATGTCTCAAGCGACCTACACCTTTGCGAGAAAGAACACCTCTTGCAGCTGATGAATCCAAGTATAAACACATCGTGAACTGACATCGAAGAAGCCATGAAAAGATGGTTGTGATCAAGATCGCATCCATGGTGGCGGACGCAGCTGCATATGTTCTGACTCTGCCCTCAAAAGTGACACGATTTTCTGCGTCCTGGAGCTTGAGTAAGCCAGACAACCATGTTTCTCTGTCTGCTGCCCAATCAGCATCGCTGAAAATTTCCACCATCGGCTCCTCGTTCTCATACTGTTTGAAAACACCAGCATGCAAACCCTTCCATTTCAAAGACATGCACTGGTCGGAGTGTGCTGCCATGTAGCCACCCAGGTGCTTCAGCACCATCAGGGATTTCTCAGTTGGTTTCGAAGAGAAAGTGGTGGCAGGTCAGCTGACAAGTACAGAAGAATCCACACGCATGTGCGGTACATTGAAGCATCATGGAAACTGATCTCTGGAGACTTGTCGGGAATCTCCATCTCGCTGTGACCTGGGGTCTTCTTACTCTGGAGCCTCTTGGAAAGGCACGAGAGTTTGCACAGCTGATCGAATCACCATCCTGCCATCTTCCAACAGCTCATGGGTGCGTTTCAAGAATGTAACTTCATCTCCGGGCTTTGACATGAGTTCAATGGAGATCGCATACTTCGACTGCAGTGAAGGCACAAGCTGTTTCATCACGGCATCTCGGCTGCCGACAATGAGAAGGTCATCCACATGGACCATCAGGAAGCAATCACTGTTTTTGCTTCTCAGTATGCTGGGATATGCATCCAGCTCTGTCATCTCCAGTGAACACTCCTTGACGAACTTCGCCAAGTCTCTGTACCAGAGCAAACTTCCATCCCTTTGCCCAGGCAAGACACGGCCCAAGCTGTATTGCACAGAGTTTCCAGTTGCATCTGTGCACGTCACCCGAGTGTCCACCTCTTGCTTCACAGTGAGAAAGGCGTCCTTGACGTCAATTGATGCCATAATGCCGTCTTGATGTTCTCTCATGGCCAAAAAGCAGATTGGAAGAATTCTGCTTGCCAAGCTTGAAGTTGCCGGGGAAAAGAGTGATTCCCTGTCCGGCTGCAGCCAAGCGTACTCTCTTGCAACCAGCCTACTGCGACGAAGCCAGATCGCTTCTCCTGAGTCATTTTTTTTCTCCCTCCAGGTTCGAACAAACCTTGTGCTCACGGTTTTGCAGTCCAGAGGCAAGCTGTCATCTTTCAAGACTTCGAGTCCAACAAGGGGTTGGACCTCAACTTGGTCTGCAAGTGCATCAAGCTTCTGTAGCTCCTCATGCGGAAGCTGTCTATGGGAAGCTGAGCTCTTTGAGACATGCACCAACGTCTATCTCGACTACATATGGGTCCTCATCCAAGTTCAATTCATGCTGAATCAAAGCATCAACATTGTCAGAGTGAAGAGGGACATCAGGTTCGATGTCTAGGTGCTCGATGTTGCGAATGGCACCCAGAAGATTGACACTACCAGAACTCTCATGCTTGCTGGCCTTTGCTGGGCTCGTCATGTTCTCAATTGGAGTATCATCCAGTAGATCACCAGCCACTGAAATAGGCGTTTGTGGTACCACATCACCATGAGGCAAGCTGTCACCATATCCAGAAAAATGCAAGCGTTTCGCCTCTGCGCCAATGTCATCATGTTCAATTGCATGTTTCGAAGGTCCACTGGACGAACCCTCAGCTTGTATCATTCCAGAATGCGCTCGATGATTGGCCACCATTTCCAGTCCCTTCACCCGATGGAGTTGAAATCGAAGCATCTGCACCTGCAGTTTCAACTGCTGCTGCAGGCATCCCTGCCTCGGACGAGATGGCGGAGGGTGTAGACCACACCTTCAATTGCCACTGAAGAATCATCCTCGAAAGGAATGACACGGTCCTCATCCAAGGGTTCAGCCTCCGCAGTGTCAGCAGGGGCTTCATGCACAGGTTGAGACTCACCTTCGTCATGCATTTCGGCCTCAGGAATGTCGTCATCAAAAACTGGTCTCTGATCACCTTCTATCAAGCGAAAGCCAAGATCTTCAGAAGGAACAGTGAGCATGTGCCAATGTCACGACCTCCAAAACTGATTCCGGGTCGTAAATGGCACCTTCAAGTTCCTCCAATTCACTAACAGGTTCAGAAAATTCAAGCAATTCCCAACCACGGCCATCACAAAAAACCGAAGTTGTGCGCAGCCGCATCATTTCTGTTGATGGACAAACTGTCGTGTCAACAAAGTTGGGTCTTCGAGTTCTCAGCACAAAAAGCTGTGGATTGATTCTGTTCCAGCCTGGCAAAAGTCGTCTGAGAACAGGCTCCAAATCAATTGCCCTGATTGCACCTGGAGTTGTTTCACATGCCTTGGGGCTGAAGCAGTCATCCTGAGAAACCATTCTGATGCACCCTTGAACGCACAAAGACTTTCTGCGAAAACTGACATTGACACTTTTGTCATTCTTCACAAGGTAAATGCCATCGCTCAAATGGTGAAGCCCCCAACCAGCACGGACAATATATTGGTCTCTTTGTTTTCTGTTTCTCCGCCATACCCAGTTTGAGTTGATACAATGTTATCATCTCTCTTCTATTTAACGCTGCTGAACTGGCCGGCCGATCACTCTCCCTCCTTGCTGGTGTTTTTTGGTTTGTTGTTTGCTTTTGTTTCCCTGGTTGTTTTGTTTTGGTGTTTTCCCTGTTTTCTTGTGTGGTTTTGGGATTGTGACGGCTCATTGGACTATGTATCGGTCCTCGCCAGTTCAACTGTTGAGGCTGTCATTGAACTGCCCACGTCATTGCAGTAATTAGTCAATTCGCTTGTTGCAACATGCAATCGAACGTGTTGAACGACCTGGCGGAAGCCAAAAAGGCGTCGGACGGAAAAAAAAAACAAGAAGCACGGACAATATGTCCCAAAGCAAGCCGCACGGGCATAATAGATCACATGTCTGAAACAATCCTGAAGACTAGCAGTGACACAGCCACGTAGTCAAAAGGAATGGTGAAACAGAGGAGTGAGACAGGACCTAAGGGTGAAAAGGTCAAGCAGCGGCGTTACTCAATTTCCCTGATGGTAATAGATGAAGGTCAGCAGTACGGAACTGACCGAGAGATTGCCACAATCAGCCTTCTTCGGACTCAGCCCCTCATACTATGGACTGGAGATGCACAACAAACCCCAGGAGGTCTCGCCCGTGCAGTGCCCAATGCAAAACGATCCCGACAGCTGCTCCTTGCCAAACAACACGGCCTCAGAAGCAACAGGAAATATTTTATGCCGTCAACCATGGCAGAAGCTATGGTGAAACTCTTGGAAAACACATCCAATGAAGGCCTTCATCTGGTAAAGGACATCCTTGAAAGAGGATTACATATCTTATAGGCAACGTATGGACAGATCAGCTAGCGCAACCAGATGCGAATGACATTAACGCAATCAACTCGTTACTCCCAGGCCTCCCTGCACAGTTCCGTACAGCCACACCGCAAGAGGTAGCCCAACTTCCACGGATTGTTGATCCACAGCTCCTCGAAGGCACCACAGTCAACTTCAGTCGATCCCTGATCCGCCTCGCGTGGATGTTGCAACATGCTGAAACCCTGCTCCCAATGGCAGGTGAAATACAAGCGGAGCTAAATTGTCACACAGCAGGAGTAAGCGGCTCCCATGAGTGGGGACTCATGCTTCCCTCCAGTTCGCGGGTCAGCCCAGTTACATACCACTCAGTAGTTGCAGTAAGGTACCCTGACCTATGCCGTGCAATGGGCAACCTATGGGAACTTGGCAGCTTCGCATCTGGAGTCATTCCCGACCGACCACCAGGCTTTCAGTTTGTGCTATGGGACATAGAGGCGAAAATTAACGGACTTGTGGCAGCTGACCTAAACACACTAGTCTCACATGTCATTGCAGACTTTGAAGGCAGCACCAGCTTTTCCAACGGCCTTTTTGTCATGACGACAGCAACTGACCACAAGAACAACCTTAACAGATCCACTATCAAAAAGACCTTTTCTCGAACGCTGCGCGTAGAAACCATCGCTAACTCGGCAGGAGGCACTGCTGCAGTAGCCATGGTTGCTCAGCCCAGCACAGGATTTCTTAATGGCCACTTCTACGCTGACGGATCCTCCACCGAAGACACAGAAGATTGCTTGGGGCGAATCACAGTCGGATTGACCAGGTCCAGATCACTCACCATTGTTGTCTCCCCCCCAGACATGATTGGCATGGCGCAAGTCCTAGCTACACTCGCCTATGGAATCAAAGGGCATCTCGACGTGGGACTGACCTTACTTTCATGATGACCCACAACAAGAAAACACCAGCCAAATGGAACGATGGTCACTGAACCAAGCCCCCACATGGACAGTTCCCCCCTTGGCCATCGCCAACCACCACTATAACACCAACAATCAACTTGTCCAAAACACGCGATACAGGCTGATCCTTGCCAAAGCATCCAACTTCGACTGGCTTACTCGCGACAGGCATGCAATGCGCGACCTCACCGCGGTTGCCAAGGAAGGCTCGCATCATTGGGTGCCTACACAGGACTTGCCGTTGGATGAGATAATCCTCTTCGCATATGCAGCCGACCAATCATCTCGACCCACGTACGTCTGTCTGCCTTCCGGCCTGTATCATGCGCGCAGCGGTCGAATCCTACAGCAATCCGGACCCAATCAGGAAGTAATGCCCTTACCTGGCATTTACTTCTTTGATGGATGGAGAGTACGACCCAGCATGGACATTCCGACAGATCTGCCTCGGACGCGGGATCCACCCGAGCGTGATACCCAGCGCCCAGCGGCAACCACATCCACTGCCGAACCACTACAAACACCGGACCAAGAAGCCCGAGAAATACTTGCCAAGGCAATTGTGAAAACAGAGCGGCGTGGCAGCTCTTTTTCACAGCTCGGACTTGAGCCAAACCACACAGGTTTGACAGCTCAGTCACTCTTCTTCTTAGAAGAGTCGTGCAGAGTAAAACGCAGTGACACTCAAACGTTCTCAAACTTCTCAAACTACTTCAAAAGAGTTCTCAAGCTTCAAAAACGTTCTTCCAGATTCTCCAAATAAAACGTCTTCAGCTCAAAACTCACAAATAACCTACAAAACTCCTACCAAATAAGTTCACAACATCAAGTTCCTAAGACATGGGTCAAAAACCAAAAACCACAAAAACAAACGAAAATCCATCTCCAAGCTCTTCCATGCACAAACTGGTTCCATTTGGTTCCAAATTGGTTCCTACCTGGTTCCTATAGGTTCCTATGGGTTCTATAGTTCACAGATCGGTTCCTACAAACTTAAAATGGTTTCCTAACTGTTCACATGCACATGCATTGTTCCAAGATAGGTTTAAAGATGTTCAAGTAGGTTCAAGGTGGTTCAGTACACTGTACATCCTCTCACCAAACTTTCACACCCCTTTTTGGACAGTAGTGCTGTACACCGAAGTACCTATAGACTACCATACCGTTTGTAAGGCAACTAAGTTCTGAACCCACACAACTAAGTTCCAGACATCACCAACTAAGATCCATGCTCAACAACTAAGCTAGGAACTAGCGCACAGAAAACTCGAAAACGTCCTGGGTTTTAAAGCGTCCTCAGAAAGATGGTTATGGGGTATGGTTGGTTGGTCTCTTTCTGAGTAACCCACAACTTGGGAACTGAGTTCACAACTTCTGCAAAAAGTTTTGTTTGAAAACGTTTGTCATTTGGAAACCTTGGTATTTGAAACTGTCTCACGTTTGTCATCATCATCTCATCTAAGTAAGGGGAACTGGTGCCAATGATCTCTCCTCTGGACACGATCTTGGCTGCCAGACTTTTGGGTATTGGGATAAACCCCCCAAAGGTACCAAGCATCCACGCCTCTGGCCTGTGATCTTGGGAACCTAAACCCCTCAATCTAGGATCATTCAAACACAATCCAAACAAACTGAAACAACGTTTCAAATCTGTTTTCCAAATGCTTGGCAACTGTTTCACGTCTCTTGGAACCTTGGCTTCTAAACCCTGTAACTTGGCAGTTGCAGACCTCTACAACTTCCCTGATTATCAGCCCAACTTTGTGTAGCAAAGTCTTGGTAGCTGAGCTGAATGCATTGAGCGCTGAACAGTGGCAACAGTGCTAAGCATTCCACGTGGTATCCAAGAGTCCTAAAACTCTGGATTGGCTTTGCTAAGCGCTGGACGTCCAGTTATGGATAACCTCCAAATCCAACATGTTGTGCACTGGGGTTCAAGCCCTTCAGAAGATAAAGCCAAACCAACAGTGACCAACGATCCATGGAGAAGGTCCACAACATGAGAACCACTGCAACGCACAAGGACAGAACATTCAGGAAGAGTTCAACAACAGTTCAAGTTCAAGACAACTTCAACTTCAAGTTCAAGACAACTTCAACCAAGTTCCAAGAACATACAACAAACATGTTATGTTATGATCCTCAGCTGCAGGGGTATTTCATATGGCATTGCCATCTTTCTCATGACCCCTTGGCAGCTACATCATTGGATCATCGATGTACCTTAGTGCAAGTTACTTACAACACGTTCACATCAAGTGCAAAAAGTTGCAAGAACATCCCAAAAACAGAGCAGTGAAAAAACTGTCGACAAGTTGAACTGCGAAAACCATGACAACTGTGAAACTGTTGAATACATCGTCCAATGAGTCCACATGTGTCCAACTGCATGCAAGTGACATCCAACTAGTTACAAAAGAAAACAGTTGACATCAAATTCAAAAACAGTGAAATGAACATCGCATGAACTGACATCACAAGACATGAAGAATCCAAAACTGTTGCAACTGTCAAACACCTACAAAAGCTATGCACAGCTTCTGCAAGATAGTTGGACGGCTTCTGCAAACAGAACTGGATCCCCTGACAACGGTTCCCTACACAGCTTCTGCAAGCAGCTCTGAACTGACAGCTTCTGTTGTTCCTAGG